GACCCAGGCGGCCGTCACTCGCTCCTGTAAACTTTCAGGTGCTTTCAAATCTCTTGGTTATTAGTTCTCCCACTTCGGATGCCTGTTCTCCGCTCTCCTCCTCTTCCCACTCTTCCCTCTCTTTCCTCTCTCGTGTTTCAAATCCTCTTTGTCGTTTCCCAAAGATGCTCCCTAAATATTTCAGGTTTTTCCTAACCATGGGTGCAATTCTGCATCGCGGGCGCTGCTTTGCTAAGCTGCTCTTTCCTTATTCCCAGTAGCATTAGTTTCCTCCAAGTCAGCTGCAGAAGATATCAAACACTTCGGCCTTATTTTTCCTCCCTGTTCTTTCTTCCATAATCCCCTTACTATTAACACACTCATAGAATAACTTTCGTATGCCTTAATAGCCCTTGCTAGCTGGTTTCAGTTTATCTTAATCCTTCTTATGTGGCTTTGCTCTTCTTTAAGCAGAAGAGGGAAACACCTCTAGTTTTGAATAACCCACAGACCTAGTTCTAGTACCATTTTTGAGATAAAACTCATGAAAGTGAGAAATAAGCACCTACAACAGCTATTCACTATCAAACACCCATCATGTTCACTCGTTCTTTCCTCTGCACCTCTCCAGCTGCAATTACTCATTTACCCAGTCAAATTAATACCTGTAATCAGCACAAACCTTACCCACCTACTGCATTGGAATTAATCTTTACTGATTGCATTAAAAATAATAACTGAAACTTCATTTAGGCTCATAAATTCTAATTGTATATAGCCTTGTGTATCCAAATACCACCTCATGCTGCAACAGCTTTAAGAAACTGTGCCAGAATAAGTGCTTAGCATCTTTACTTCATTCACTGTTTCCAAAGGTACAAAAAGCTAAAGAAGGCAACAACATCACAAAAGAAGCCTACATAACTACCTTTATTTCTGTAAAAGACTACTTTTATTTCTGTGGAATATATTTAGGAGCCCACTACGTTCCTGGGTATGCTTAACTCACCGGTGCTGTTTTGGTGCTACACAAAAATTAAGTTTCTGCATCAGATCTATGCGAATACTCCTGGATTTTCCTCATCCTGCAGCGGTACTGGCTCTTCCCCCACACATACAGAGGGTTCTCCTGGATTTTCCTGCAGTTACCAGCTTGGGCAGAAGATTAACTTATTTTTTTTTAAATGGGACCATCACAGTCTTCTGGATGATGGAGATCTCTGCTGTAAGCAGAGGGTTTATGGATCTCCACCAGTTAAGAGCTGCTTCTGCTTCAGAGGCAGAAGTTCACGGGTTCATAACTACTAGAGAGAGAAGTGTGACGGGTTATAAAGTGTTTAATTCAGAAAAAAATATACTTCCCTGGCCGAGCCTCAAGCTGTGTGAAACAGGCAGCGCTAGGACGGCTTCCATCGGGTGGGTTCATGAAATCCCTCCCCGTTCACAAACTGGTTCTGGCTGCAGTTACAGCCAAGGAGGGGCAGGACGGCGTTTTTGGGAGCTCCCCTCTGCAGCAGCCTCCTGCTGCAGTTTGCACGGCCCGGATGGAGGTTTCACCCACCTTTTGCATCATCACCGCTTGCATCATCGCTCCTTTCTATTGAATTCTGCAGCTAGTTTTGGTTATCTCTCCGTTTACCAAGACCAGAGCTTAAACGTGGGGCTTCCCTCCAAAAAGAGAGATTCCCAAAAAGATGGTTTTCCAATATGTCAGGCAGAGAGATCAGGAGGCTCTGCCTTGGGCTGACTGTCCCACACAGACCCTTGTCACAACTCGCGTTTGAGCTCCGGCAGGATTTCAACCCTAAGTTCTGGAGCGCGGGGAGTTTTGGCTGCAGCAGCCACATAATTAACAGCTATTCCCTCCAAGAGAGGATGCTGAACGGCGACAGCAATGAGAGACACCGAGCGCACCTCGGACCGCAAAATCCATGAAAGAGAAGCACAAGGGACCTTCAGCGCACGCGTGGCGACGGTTCCTCAAAATCAGAGCATTTTTCACAGAATCAGAGCATTTTTCACCGTGGAAGGCAACTCCTGCAAGCTCCAGACCCTCGGTGCTGCCGCATCCAAGAGCCCGCAAGGCGACTCGCTCGCATGGGGCTGCTTTTCAACAGGTTCCTGGTGACAGGAGCAACTTTTGGCCAGCCCGAATAACCACCAGGACTCGCGGAAGGGAGTTTCGTCCTCTCCAGCATCATGCTAAACTAATTATTTTTCTTTAAAATAACCACCAATTCGAAAGGCAGCACCAACAAGTCACTGAGCTCTTTCTTCCCAGCAGTGAAACAAATCCTAAAAGTACTTTGTTAGATAACAAGTCTCAAAGTCTGACTTGGAGATTGTCTTTGGAGAACAAATGGACTATTATTCCACGGCATCTTTATCACAATGGTTCATACAAGATTAATTCAGGCTTTTTTTCCCCCTGAAAGAAATGCAACCCTCGTCCTTTCCTCATTCACAGCTTTCGCCCTTTGGTTGGGACTCGCTGTTTTACTGCCAGCAGCCTTGGAATTTGACTGCTCTTCCCAAGGGATTCCAGGGGGGCAGAAAGGAAAGTGGCTGCATCTTAACCTGAGGACACAAATCAAGCGATTCACTCGAGGACAGTCCCCTCAGGTCCCTGGTCACCCACCTCCTTTTACAGCGTCCGAAGCACAAGGGAGAACTAGTGTAGAATTATTCTGTATTTGAACTGTATAGAACTTTCAGCATAACTTCCCATAACTATCCTCAGAGAAAGCCTGGCCATCTTTTGTCCCATTTTGACACTTGCAACGCTTCTTTAAACGCTCCTAACACAAACCTTGGTTCTTCTTAGCTCTTTTGCAGTGTCATAGTTAAGTTGCATTTGGAAAAACAAAAAGCGTCCCAGCAAATCAGCTCTGTAACTGAGAACACCGAGCAGAGCTGCTACGAGGGACCAGGCGGAACCCCGAGCTAAACACGGGTTCCTACATGTTGTTCGTTCCCTGGCAATCCCAGGGTGTTTTCCCTTCTTCCCAACTCGAGGCAGCGAATCTCCTTCCTGCGTTACACAACAGGTCGCGCAATCCTCAATTCACCACCTCGGGAAGCTGTCGTAACAGCTACCTGTCTCGCAGGGAATGAGATCACGGTCGCCTCGTCCCGCATGGCGAGCGGGAGCCCGGCCTTGCTGCTAAAATTGCCCGAGGATGAGCGGAGGTTACACGGGGGTGTCGGGATGGGGACTCCATTCCCTGTCCCCAAAGCGGGTCCCGTCGGGGACGCGGCGGCTCCTCCGCTTGCTGGTCGCATGAAAACGCGACCCACGTCCCGCGAGGAAGCTCCTGAGGAGGCGACACCGCAGGGACGGGGCCGGCGCGCCGCCGTAAAACCGAGGGGGTAAAAGCGGCTCCGGAGGGGCCGGGAAAGGGGCTCCAGGCAGCCCCCCGTCCCGCTCGGGCCGCCCTTCCGCCAGGGCCGCCCTCGCGGCCCGCTCCGATCGCGGCTCCCCGCG